GTGTATAGGTGCTGCTGCTACTGCTGTTGCGGTTGCTGCTGCTGATGCTGCTGCTGCTGCTGTTGCTGCTGCTACGCACTAAGACACAACAGTAATGACAAAGCAAGCGATCAGAATATTATTTTAGACGTTTGGTTTATTGGTATTTCATATTATTACTATATATTATATGACTATTATATATATATATAATATATATATATATATATATATTCATTATATTTTTATTATATATTATTATATATTTAGGTTTCTAAGAGATACAGACCTGAGCCGTTAGCCCCGATGATGGCTACACTGCTCTGTAGGGGCCCAATGATGTGTTTGCCTTTATAGGATTTGAAGTTTTCTATGATGATATATTCAAGAAAGAAACGCCCACAAACAGCAACAGTAGCAGCAGGATCCTGCTGCTCCTGCTGCTCCTGCTGCTGCTCCTGCTGCTGCTGCTGCTGTTCGGCCCGCGGTTGCTGCGTCTGAGAGGTGTCTTCAAAGAGAGAGGCAATCGAANCTGCTGCTGCTGCTGTTCGGCCCGCGGTTGCTGCGTCTGAGAGGTGTCTTCAAAGAGAGAGGCAATCGAACAGGGGAATGCAGAGGCTTGAGGCTGCTGAGAGAAGCTGCTGCTGCGCTGCTGCTGCTGCGGCACCGCCAGACCCCAAGCCCCAGTCGACAGTGCAGGAGAGTCGCATTCCATAGACGTCAATTGCTGCTGCTGCTGCTGCTGCTGCCGTTGGCTGCTTTCAACGCTGCCCTCCACGCTGCTGGCCGTGGGGAACTCCATCGTTCCCCTGCAGCGGCAGCTGCGGGTGCAAAATGATACTAAATCAGCAGCAGCTCCAGCAGCTGCAGCAGTTGCTACTGCAGCGCATACAACTACACAGGGGGGCCCTCAAGGACGGCCTCGTTGCATGCTGAGGATCAGAGAGAGAGCCGCAAAGGAACCACAGGAAAGAGAAGGTGAAGCAGCAGCAGATAACAATGTGAGGCGGTCTGCTGCGTGGTGTAGCTCAAGCGCCAAGGGAACAGCTGCAGCAACCGCAGCAGCAGCAGCAGCAGCCGACTAAGCTGTAAAACAGGAGAATACACTCAAAAACAAATCGAATGCATAATTCTGAGATTCTTCGGGTGAAGAAAGACGAAATCTTTACTCAAAGTGTAGCAACTACGTTGCAGGGTCAAGAGGTGGGGTTGTTGTTGCTCAAGTAACGACACGGCATAAAAGCCACCGAAACTCCGTAAATTTCAGCATGAGTTCATTTCTATTGAGAAATAAATCATTTATTTAGTATTTATAGCTGAGTTGTCTCAACAAATAAGCCTCATCCTCCTGCTCTGTTTCGTACTCTTGCAAGAGTCGGTGGTGGTGTATCATATACCCACCAACCCCCAGAAGGCCCCGTTGTNTGTTTCGTACTCTTGCAAGAGTCGGTGGTGGTGTATCATATACCCACCAACCCCCAGAAGGCCCCGTTGTGCCGAGGAAGAAAACCAGGAGATTATCCTACGACATGAATTCAACTAAAATAAACAAAACTCCAATTTAAAACTCTGCAAAGGAAGAAGATTTCTCGGTGGAGGTGAAATACCAGTCGTCGAGTATGATGCCAGCACAGCGCAACACCGCCCGAAATACCTCCGTGAAAAAGCGTATGAAATACCTTTTTCTCTCCATAGAAATCCCTGAAAAATCATTTTCCAGAGTATTTAAACAAAACTGGTCCATAGAAGAGGAGAATCTGCAGCTGCCTTGTGCCCGTTTCAGTAGCGAAAATACCGATTTGAATTTCAGCGGGAACACCTGATGCTCAAGGAAAACGAAACCTTTCCATTTTGTCTCACGAAAATACCAAGAAAAAGTGAAATATGTGTTTATTTAACATATAAACAAGTGCAGTTCGTTCTGTATTCCTCTTCTTCTATTCATGACATTGTTGCATATCTTAAGAAGGTTCAGAAAGAATCACAGCATTTCCATGCAAACGAACAAAACGCAACACGAGAAAAAGAGGCATTTCTCCTCTGTGTTCAACACTTCTATTCAAGTGTCAGTGTATAGCATTTGCTGCATTTCATCCATACTTTCTCTTCAGCTGGTAAACGCTACGGCCAGCAGAAATTAGATGGTCTTAGACCCCAGAGTAGGTGAAGTTGTTCACTAAGCCTTTAGCAGTAAATATTACAGCTTCAAAAAATAAAATTGAGGAGCACGTAAACAAAAAAGTAAAGTTTGAGGATGCGGAAATGTCTAGGGTGCCCTTTGTGTAATAAAATGCTCTAATCAAAAGACATTTAGTAGTAAGATGAGCTCAAGAGCAAAAAAGTATAAATGAAATATCTTTTCGATGTACTTTCCACTGCCATTGATCCCGCTGCTGCTGCTGCTTTTGCTGCTGCTGGTAGATATGTCCCTTTCACTGTTTCTGCAGCTTTCCTGTCAACCGCAGTTTCTGTTTCGAAGACTGTCGTCCACTGTTTTCAATAAACACTTTTGAGTTATTTCAACAGAGGCCTGTGGATGAAAGCAGTGCATGCACCCCGTGTCTGCAGCTTTTGTATTGTAGCACTACTTTCTTCTATTCGCCAGTGCAATTAGAGTTATCAGTACATGCACCTCACAACAAAATATACTGCATGCAGGAATACAACAAAGCTCGGCATGTTTCGGTATGCTCGTTTACACCCATCGATCTCGGCTTCTGCTTTAGCAACCATAGCAGTTCCCTGGGGAGCCGAAGAGGATGGACTCAGAAGAAAACAGCGCGAGTTCAGGGGGCGTTTAGCAAGGGATTTTCCCCCCCGTCATTCAACCACGCACAAGTTCAGTGAAAAAGCTGCAAGCGGTGTGACGGAGAGGGTCACTATGCTTGTGGTTGCAGTATACCAGCTCAGTCACGAACAGGGTTGAACGAGAGAGGGCTAAGGTTACCCAGGGGTAAACAATAAAGGGGAGATCTTATATTTTGGGGAAATAAAATCCTTAAGGACTAAGTTTTATGCTTTTTAATGTACTAGTCTGATGTTTTCAAAATAAACAAAGGGGTTATCTACTCTAATCAGGAGCCATGCTGGGTTCCTGCTTACTGCAGCGATATGCCCATACGCTGTTGAAATCATCAGCATAAATGCAGGCAGCGAGACAGGAGAATGAAGAAAAGCGAATTAAATGAATTCTNTGTTGAAATCATCAGCATAAATGCAGGCAGCGAGACAGGAGAATGAAGAAAAGCGAATTAAATGAATTCTTTTTTGTTTTTTAAATATATTTCAGGTTTTCATGCTCGCAAGATCTACAATATAACGTAATACATGCAGAAGCACCGCACGTTTCAGGTGTATGCGCAGCTACTGCGAGACGGCATTCAAACATTTTCTGAAATCGTAAGCATTTGTTGGACGCCTTCCTTCTCTAACCCATCAAAAGAGAGCTTTTCACCGGAGAAATTAAATTTAATAAGTAAAAAGAGATGTATTTCAACAAAAAAATGCAAAATACGTCTCTGTTTACCCTGGGTTACGCACAAGGCGAGCAGCGGCTTTCAGGAAGCTGACCAGCCCACCGCCGGGGCTGCCTTATTAGTAGCGAAGACGATAATATAATATCGTCTTCGACTTGATAAAAATAAGAAATATATATTGTTATGTATTTCTTGTACTTTATTAATATTACATCAACCGCTGCAGCTGGCGGCGTTCATGTTTCTCTCGGTTGCAAGCGGGAGCAGCAGCTGCAGCAACGGATCGCTGCATTTGTCTATCGAGTAAACAAAAGANTCTCGGTTGCAAGCGGGAGCAGCAGCTGCAGCAACGGATCGCTGCATTTGTCTATCGAGTAAACAAAAGATATAAACACGGGGCTTGTGAACGCCTCCATGCAAAACGCATGCAAACAGAGAAGCTCAATAACTTTCGCCTACACGGGAACGACGAGAGGCTGCAGCAGCAACAGGCAGCAGCAGAACGTGCAACAGCTGCAGCAGCAAGAGCAGCACTCGGATCGGTAGCTCACTGCTGCGCGGGGCACCGCCGCTGCAGCAACAACAGTGGCAAGCTGTAGAGGCTTCATGCCTAGCGTCAATACACACACTCTGACCTGGTGTGCATGCAGCAGCAGCAACTGCAGCAGCAACAGGAGCAACAGCAACAGCAGTAGAAGCAAAAAGGCAATGGGAGGCTATGGAAAGGGCTCGAGCAGATGAGAGAAGCCCCTCTGAGGGGGGAATATCCCCGTAAGCCTCCGGGTGTATCTGCAGCTAGTGCCTTCGGGTGTATCTGCAGCTTCTTTCTTCATTTTCTGGATTACACAGAGCCTACAGACGCTGTGTATGATGCAGTATATACGGTTACATGAACACACTGCTGCTGCTGCTGCTGCGGCGGCAGCAGCAGCAGCTGCTGCTGCTGCATGCAAGCAGCAGCGGGTTCACTGTTTGTTCTGTGTTTGTGTGCACTGCTCCTCGAACCCTTCAGCTTAGTGGAGCGTTTCTGCTCCAGCAGCTCCCGGCATATGCAGCAGCAGCAGCAGCAGCGGTTGTACCGGCAGCAGCGGCAGCAGCAGCAGCAGCAGCAGCAGCAAATGGATTGGAGGAGCGGAAGGCTGTCTTGGTCTATACATACACCCGAAAGGAGAGCAGCGCAAGATGTTATTGATGCTGCTGCTGCTGCTGCTGAAGCAGCAGCAGCAATGGACGCTCTTGCTGCTGCTGCAGATGCAGCAGATATTCTCTCTCACCCCCGTACTGTCGCGCAGTGAGTTTTCTATCTC